AGATGGTGGGCGTGTTGGCGGTAAACATCTACATCGAGAAGAACAAGGAGCTCCGCTGTCGCTCTCGCACTGATATCTTTAAAAGCACCACTCACGCCATGCTACGGCTCCCAAGCTACCGTTTCCGCCGCAGATCGCGTTCCAGCTCTCGATCCACCGACCCCTCGCGCTCACGAGACCCGTCTCCCGTGGGTGGCCCACCGGGGGGTAAGAACTTCGGAATGCCCCCGTCTGCTTTACTCTCACAGGGGCCCATCTCTGTGTCCACTCTTCCCAACCCTCACTCCCGCTCCGCTCTGCCAGGGGGCGATATTTCCCTTTACACCCTCTCCCGAGACCCCAAACTGGGTGGTTTAGGAGGGCTGGGAGCCCCTCCGCTGTACGGCACCGTGGACCGTGCCACACTATACCAGCTGCACAACTGCTTCCCTAAAGAGAGCGGAGGAGGCATGATGATGAGTGGGACGCTGCCCTCGCTCAAATCCCACAATCCCTCAGCTGTCCAGAATTCTTCCAACTCCAACGCGCCACTCAGCAACTCCGTCTCATCCTCCCAGCCTCCACCTTTCTCCTCCTCTACGGTGGAGCGGGAACGAGGGATGGGAACGCTGGATAGGCTAGGAAAAGGTGACAGAGAGAGTAACTCCAACACACTAAACAGGAAAACTACACCAGTGTAGACAGATAGAGGGTTGGTGTAGATAACGTAGACGGAAAGACTGGAAACAACTAAAAAAAGGGGTAACACTCTTGGCATTGACAAATGTTTCACTTTATGAAAAAATTGAGTAAAAGAATTACAGACATCTCATAATAACAACAACACTCTCATGTGTTTTTCAGTACTGTTTTATAACGTGTAATCTTAATGAAACTATAATCATGGGATACTGTGATATTATTATTGATTTTAGATGTGGAATTTCAAGACGGTGAAGTGTTGTTGTTATTACGACAACGTTTGATCTGCTAGCTCTCAACTTGTTGAATGATTCTAGTTTTTAAACTAGAAAGAGTATTATGCTTTTCAAAAGTCCAAAACGTGATACTGAGCACTGCAGAAACATGAGTGTATTCAATATGTGAGAATGAGATTATTATTACAACTAACTTTGTGAGAAGCATTTTATTTATTTTAAAGAAAGTTTTATTTTCTACCCTTTAATAACATGCAATTTAGTGTGTAATATCTGTATATCCGTCTTCCAGCTCAGTAAAGAGATCAGCACCATAATTGATGGACTGAAATGACAAAGAGTTCAAATGAAAAAAGATTTTTATATAAACCTACCATCATATTATTTTTGTTAAAATCACTGTTAGCAGTAGAAGTAGCACTTGTTGCATTGAAAATCTTTGTTTTGGGGCATTAAAACATTCCCTCACTTGGTAAAAAAGGGACAAGATGATATATTTGTATAGACAAAATGATGAATGATGACATTCAGAAGAGGGACTTCTATCCAAAACTGTGCTTTTCAAATCGGAGCGAGGGAGAGAGGATGGAAAAAAGCTACATTTTGAAAAGCAAATGTATATTATACACAATTGGTTTTTTATTTGGAAAAAAAAGAGATACTTTAAAAATCTAGAGTACAGATGTGAAAGGGGGTCTTCATGTATTGAAAAGGGCAGAATGGGTGGGTGGGGCTTTTTTTTTAATATGTATAAGGACACTGTCTTCCTTGAGCTCTGATTGGCCTAAACTCATATGTTGAGGCATGCCCTGTGTCATTTGTGTTTTCCCTTCACTGTGTCATGTGATCATGACAGCATCCCAAAGGCAAAGCTCCCCTCCAAAAAAACAAAACAAAAACAAACGTTCACTGTGCTTCACCTGACTCCCTTTGAACCGTCTGCTTCTCTAAATGAGAGATTATATATATATATATATATGTGGACATTCTGCTAACCTTTAACCTCTATTCCATGATCCCAGCCAACAAGAGGTCAACACAGGACATTACATAATAGAGTGCAAATGGGCATCAAATCACAATCTCCTGCAATTGGGGGTCTTTTTTAATTCATAAAAAAATGTGAAAAACTACACAGCATTTATGTGGTCAGTTATAAATATTATGTAGATGAGAATAGATATATCTAGAGAAAATATGGTTTATCTTAATGTGTGATAAACTCTAACACTGTATTGCACGAATTTTATATATAAAAGAAACAACAGACAATCTACGAGTGATGTCATTTGTGTGTTTTTAACATCTTATATCCATAGAAGATAACTAAGATGATCTTTTATGGAAGTGCATTTCCATCTCAAAGTAAAAAATACAAACAGATAATTGTGAGATAATGTTTAAAATACAGAAAGTCATATTATAAGATATAAGGTCACAAAAAGTTGCAATACAATAGTGACAGTCATAAATGAATTCAAAATTCTGTGAAATAAAGTCACCATTATCTTGTTTGTTTTTTTGTTTTGTTTTTTTACTCTGAGGACAAAATGCGTTTCCATAAACTAATACAGTGGTTCTCAACCACGGGGCCTCAGCAAACTTTCAAGAAGGACACAAGATGACCGTCACATGTGCTTGCCGCTCCTTCGTCGGATCCGCCGGCCGCGCCGTTCTCAACCCCACCGCCTCTGCTCACTCTAGCCCGGCCTCAGCTCATTGTAGCCCGGCCTCAGCTCACGCTAAGCCAAGGCTTCCGCTCACACTAGGCCGCCGTGTTTTTCGTTGTGAAAGCAAAACGACTTTGTTTGGTATTCCAAAAGAGGACACGACTACAAATCAGTGGTTAAGTTGTATTTACAACACTGTTCCAGAACAGTTTAACCCAAATATCCAGATGTGTGCAGCACATTTTATGGAGGACTGTTTACTGATCCTCGCTTTTCAGACCGATTAGTTTTGTAAAAATCGACGCGTTTCAGAAAGGCGGGGCATAGAGGAGAAACAATAATGTACAGTATGTGGAAAATAATGTGTTTTTTTTACTTTAAACCGCATAAACACATTTCATTACACCAAATACACAAAATAATGTTCTTTTTAGCAGCATCATATGACCCCTTTAAATAAAACAAAATTTGAATTAAAATAAGCCAAACCAATCAAGATATTTCCTATTTTTAATTCACCCCCTCAACAACTGTTTTGTTTCAACTGGAAAAGTAACAGGGCCTTTGAATATAGTTTTAAACAACAGGAGTCAAAAGGTTATGAACCAATTTTCTAATGATAACCTTAAAAAAAAAATTTTTTTTTTTTAAGTCTTAACACCTATCTTCCTTTTAACAGTACCTTAAGATGTAATCTAGATATTTTGCAGAATCATATTTGAACTTTTTTTTTTTACTTCTCTGTAATATGGTAGACAATTATTGACCTAATTTTTTCCTAATTTCCAGATGGGCGGGCCATCACTTTCTCACTATTGGAGGACTGTCTAGAGAGGTTTTTATTGTACCCACCCACAAACATGCACTCATTTCGGTCCCGACCACCAATTAATAAACCTGTGCCAGCAAATCCTGTTTTATTCCCCCCCATGTGCTCGTACACATAAAAAGTGAAAGAACAGCTCGCTAGTCTGACAGGCACTATTAAAGGGCTATATATACAAGCAGACCTCTGGCTTGAGTGTCAGCCTACAGCTCCAATTTCCCTACTCCGCACCCACCACCCATACTCCCCCCATCAGATCAACCGACATGCTCTTATGCTACAGACCCGATACAGATTCACCAAATTAAAAGAGCCAGTAATAAGCACACTGTAGGACATGTTGAGACGGTTGCTCCAGGAACATGCTCGCCACCTGTCATTTCTGAGGTTTGAGGAGATCTAGATTGTTACGCACAGGATGGAGGCTCCAGTTAGACTGGATGAAAGACATGCAGATTACTGAGGCTCAGACCTTTCCTCACTTCCCAAACGTACTGGCACTGCATTCACAAACACTCGGGTGGGAGAGGAGGGACGGGACAGCAGACGCAGCGAAACAACAGCTCCACCCAAACCCTCGGAGACACCCAAGAGCCATCAACATCGAGAAAGAACGTCGAGGGGGGGCATAGTTGACATTCTAGGATAATATTTCGCATCCACTTCAACTTGATGTGCTTAGATGAGCAATGCGCTAATTTTAGACGGAGCGAGTGGCAAAAGAGAAGGATTGAGAAACAAGCGAGGGAAGGAGTGCAGGAGACTCTTTTAGGTGAAAGAGATTTAATCCTCAAGCAAATCTAGTAAACGAGAAAGAGCGTGACAAATAGAGAATGACAAACAACCAAGTGAAGAACATACATGAAAGAAAGAAGAAAGTTCAGTGAGGGACAGTGTCTAAAGAAAAGCTGGAGTACAATATACAGTAAACACACTATTTACATAAAAATGTGGCTCAACAGTGGGTCTGTGTCATCCACATCAATAGATTTCATACATCATTTTTATACACACAATAGAAACGCATCTGTGTCATATGTATAGTATTAAACATCTATATAAATAAACCATCCCAAATCTATGCATTGAAATCTATGAAATCTAGTCTGCTGATTACTAAACCAAGTATAATTTATTTTAAAGAAAGATGGGACAAGGACACTTCCCAAGTAAAACATTAAATAAAAAAACTTGCAAGGTTCATAAAACAACTGATATATTGTTAAACAATTACTTTCACATTTTTAAATGTGTCCAAAAGTGTTGCATTTTAGGATCACTGTAGCTGGTCACAAGCATATGTTGTGATGCTAGTGTGCTGATGTCCCCATTTGGTTTTATAACTAGCCTCACTAGCAAAACTTTGTTGGTCAACCAGCTTCAACATAAAGATACCTCTGGTCAAAGAAGCTCACCTGCCAAGTTTTGCTATTAAACAGCAAGGCTATGATGGTTCACAAGCCATCACTTACTAGCACAAACTAACTTGAAAAGCTGGTTTTCAGTTGAAATAATAATCTTGCACCAAGGATGATAACTATAATGGTAACTATAACTGTAAAGTTTTAATAATCATTCTAATTCTATGAGAATAGAGAAGCCCACACCACAGCTATAACAATAATGCCACAGAGGAACAATATTGCTGGAATCATTTTCATGATGATTTTTTTCTAGCTGATGAATGATAAAAACACTGACAGCCAATCAGAATCCACTCAACTTTAAAGAGCTCAAGCATTTAAGGTGGCGTACGACAAAACTGCAGCGTGCTCTTATAATAAGCAGAACGTTATCTGACACTAATGACACTTGGTGTGAACGGGCCTTTAGCAATGATAGGATGGCCTATTTTTCAAAAAAAAAGAAAAGAAAAAAAAAGTACACTTTCAAACCACAGATACCTGATAAGTCAGTATTATATGCCTAGTAATCAAATAAGGTTTCTTATACCAATGCACAGGGACAATGCATAATAGCACAACATGTTGTGTAAATGAAGCCTTTAAAGACAGTAAACAGATCTGTTGGTCACTGATTTTATGTACATAACCATCATAGAAATATCAGTTCAAATTTCAGAGTCGGTGTATGAGCATTAAAGTCTATAATCTTATTGATAAGCAAACTAATGCTAGTTATTGCAAAACATTATGAACATTAGCGTTTGATAGTCCTTTATAACATCAGTTAATCTCCACAAACAGCATAAGAGTATAAAAGATCTTGTGCTACTTAACTCACGGGCAGTCCCCCTGACAGCTAGGCATCACTACTGCTCTGCTGAGGAAAACATTTCTCCAGGGGGTTGTAGGGGAGGGAAAGCAACAGGAATATAAGCCCTCCAAAAATGAGAATGGCCCCAGCCGAGCCAAGGCATGCCACTGACCAGGACAACTGGTGATGGAGAGGGATACTGTGATCGCTTGCCAATAACGCCAGCACAGACTGGTGGAAAACTATGATGGACAAGAAGACCAGGACACCTGGGGAAAGTGGAGATGAAAGGTCATTTTATTTAAATGAACGGGTTCACATATTTGGATTCAACATTAAATATTTAGGAGCAGAATTACATATGTAGTTGACAAATTATGAAATTGCTCAATAAAGATTTTTTCAATAGAGCTTCAGATTACAAAGCTTCCTACTTTAGCTTGCAACAGCAGTCACTGTATGCTGACAGTTTAAGTTATATAGGTACATTTCATGTAAATTAGTTCCGATTTGATACTCTAGTGATCTTGACTGTATTTTAGTCATATAAATATCACTGCATTTTGGAAGAATATTTGTTGCTGTTTAAATAACAATTTAAATGCAAGGCTACAAGTTAAGTGGAAAACTATGATGGACAAGAAGACCAGGACACCTGGGGAAAGTGGAGATGAAAGGTCATTTTATTTAAATGAACGGGTTCACATATTTGGATTCAACATTAAATATTTAGGAGCAGAATTACATATGTAGTTGACAAATTATGAAATTGCTCAATAAAGATTTTTTCAATAGAGCTTCAGATTACAAAGCTTCCTACTTTAGCTTGCAACAGCAGTCACTGTATGCTGACAGTTTAAGTTATATAGGTACATTTCATGTAAATTAGTTCCGATTTGATACTCTAGTGATCTTGACTGTATTTTAGTCATATAAATATCACTGCATTTTGGAAGAATATTTGTTGCTGTTTAAATAACAATTAACATATACTAAATTATTGATTTAATTAAATCTTTTAAGTTGCAAAATTGTTTTGTTGATCTAATGAGTTGATAATTACATCAACATCATATTAAGCATACCTGGACATTTCTGTTAACTGATTTTATTTTTTTAACTTAGTGAAATGATCTTGATTACTAAAAATTGGACTGGGAAAGACCTGTTATTGTTATGCTTGTTATGTATGTTATGCTTGGCATTTAAAAGTTGACATTTAAAATGTTGGCTTTTGGGGTTGAACTGAAAAAGTCACCAATCAGTTGTTGAAATTAGTTGAAACAACTTAAAAATTTGTGTTTATGCTACAAATTAAGTTCCTCTAACTTTGTGTTACACATAACTTCATTAATTTCAACTCAAAAAGATTGATGCAAACTTGCTTTTTTGAGCATTAACATTTGTGCTGTATAAATAAACATGGCATGACTTGACTGGAGTGCTGAATTGCAGAGCTGGTTCAAACATCACATCGCTACGATCAGATGCTTTCTTAACTGCTGTTTTCCCACTACTGTCTCACCTCGTTCAAGCGAAAAACGAAAAAGAACTTCACCGTGAGTATATCAGGGACACAAGTTTCTGCAATATTTTCTTATTATATACCTCAAACTCAAAATAAATACGAGCGATTACACATGATTAGTGAAGTGACACTGAAATACAGCCAGCTGTATTTCTTGAGATGCCTGACAATGAGACGATTGAGGTTTAAGCTCAGAATCTCAGCAATGGGATACACTGCGCTTGACCTTTGCCAATCCCCAGGAAGCTTCAATAAAACTGAGCCTCCTCCATGACTACTTTTTAGATTTACTGCAGATGGCTGGTGTTTTTTTTAAGTCACTGAATGCAGTTAAGAGGTGTTTAAAAGGTACCTGAGAAGATGAAGCAGATAGTAGCAGGCTTGAGGAAGAAGGGCACACTCTTACTGAGAGACATAGTGATACACACAGAGCCCATGATCATCAGAAACAAACTGAACAAAGCCAACATTGCACCAGCTATATGCAAACCTAAGAGAGAAACAAAGCAAACACTGAGTCATATTTGTTCTAATACAAAATTATCCATTGTTAAACAATATAGCCAAACATATGCGGTCAATTAAACCCTGCTGTGTTTGTTGAGCATTTAATTTCAAACCCATTGGCATTAATGGCCCTCCCTAACAGCTTGCACTCTTCTAGGAAGGCTTTCCACTTGATGCTGGAACATGGCTGAAGGGATTTTCCTCCCATTCAGACAGAACAGCATAAGTGAGGTCAGGGACCAATTTTGGCCAATGGGATCTGGCACACATTCAGCATTCTAGCTCATCCCAAAGGTGTTCAACGAGGTTCAATCTGAATTTTAAGCAGTAAATCATTTTTATCATTTTTAACAAATCATTAAGGTCTACCAGCTGATATACAGGAACATTAGCTCAAGTGGTATCACAAAAGGTATGCTATATTCCAAGACATGAGCTTCATGTGAGCAACAGACTAAAAATTAAGTCATTATTCACTAAAAATCTTGACATCTTGGTGAGAAGTTGTGATATCTGATTCATCAACCAATTGTTCTTTTGAATCAGGTCTTTCCAAATAATCAGTTAAGCCAGTTCACAATACCAGAGTGAATGATTTCAAACTGACCTGGAACCAGGGTGCGAACTACGGGGGAGCTAGGGGGAGCTCGGCTCCCCTTAATAAGACATGTGCTCCCCTGAAAACGTGATTTGTGAAAATTTGGGGGGTCTCAAAAAATATTGACAATGTGTTATTTTGACGTGCAATTTCAGTTTTGTGTAATGTGATCATCGTGGATTATTATGTGTAAAATTGCAAAAATATCATTCATTCATTCATGCATGACGGCGATTTAAACCTAATTCACTTCAATAAAGATAACTATACATGCTATTCTTGTCATGAGCATCAAGGTGTGGGGGCGCTGCGGTGCAAATTCCACTCATGTTTAGTACATGTTAACTCAAAGATTCGTAGAAAAAATATAAACATTGGACTCTGTGGTCGATTCTGTGTTAAGGTAAGTAATGTTATTTGCAATTATGTGTTGTAGCTGGGTTGTTATAGGTCTGCGTGACTCTCGATGTCTTAGGCCTAACTGAACGGAGGAATTATGGTATTCTTCTGTAGCCTGACGACGAGTAACTTTAACCGTTGTTCATGTAAACTCAAAGACAGCCTGATGCTTTGTATATAGACTATTTGTGGGTGGCTGTTTGTTGTTTCACCTATCAATTCGTGTCGATAAAGTATAATAGGGTAAATCCTGCATAGTGATTTATTCTATATAGTGCTTGCATAAAGCAAGTAGTGCATACAAAGATACATAACAGCTAAGTTACAAGTGTA